ATATATATGTCGTGTTTGAACTCATGGAATCCGATTTACATCAGGTCATCAAAGCAAATGATGATCTGACTCCAGAGCACTATCAGTTCTTTCTTTATCAGCTTCTTCGAGGCTTGAAGTACATACACACAGGTTATAATCTTTATATAATCAGAATCTTTTTCATGGATAGCTTGCTCTAGCAATCTTTACTTCTATTAACCATTTAGGTTTTGATTATAACAAACTAGTTGCTGATTTTAATTTGGGATGATACTGAACTTCTGAATGGTCCCAGCAAATGTTTTTCACCGTGACCTAAAACCAAAAAACATCTTAGCAAATGCTGACTGCAAACTCAAGATCTGTGACTTTGGTCTTGCCAGAGTAGCATTTAATGACACACCCACTGCCATATTCTGGACGGTAAGAATCTCTTTTTCCTGAGACTATAGAGCCTTGAACATGCAGTGTTGTCGTTTTTCATCATGCTTATTTCCGTTTGACTACTCACAGGATTATGTTGCAACAAGGTGGTATAGGGCTCCCGAGCTGTGTGGATCCTTTTTCTCCAAGGTGCTCTGGTGCAATATCTGTTACATATTTATTTTGGACCCTTGATTTCTTTATTCAATCCCCACTCCTGCTTGGACTTTGAAATTACGAGCAGGTCCCTTTCCCTTCCCCCTTAATCCTGTTTCTTTCCTTCAATTACACATGCTAGGGACCTCTTGAACTCTTATATATTTTTTAAAATAATTGTGTGCTTGGGGAAATCTACTATTCTCTATGAATCTTCTACTAAAATTACTAAAGAAATATTTGTTAACAAATTGTCTAGCTCTCTTCTCTTTTTGGAATGCTGATAAGAACCTGTGACATTATCTTGACCGTGATTTCTAAGTGTCTATTCTCAATATATGGACTTACCCCCTTGTGAAAGCTTTAATGGCAACTTGGGTGGCCTCTGGTTGGGTAAACTGTACCTTTTAACTATTTTTATCTATCTTGAATCCGTGGAAGGTCTGACCATGTATTAGGGTGAGACAGCCTATCTCTTTATGCACTATATGTACATAATTATTTAATTTTTAGTCATTTAATCAAGATGGTATATATGATTTTTTTTTCTTTCTTTTAATATGAATTTTCCATGTTTTTTCAGTACACACCGGCTATAGATATATGGAGCATTGGCTGCATTTTTGCAGAACTTTTAACTGGAAAACCTCTTTTCCCGGGGAAGAATGTTGTCCATCAGTTGGACCTCATGACTGAACTTCTTGGAACGCCATCTCCTGATGCCATTGCTAGGGTCTGTAAATCATTCACCCATCTTTTTAGCATATTTTTTAAAGTTTTCTTACCACCAGTACCATATATGCAATTGCATGTGGAAGTTAAAATTTTGATTTTGGAAAAAATGTCACACAAATAAAACTGACAATACTTCTAATAATAAACACTAATTTTATTAACATATATAATAGCATGTTATGTGTATGGGATTTAAATTTGAATGCACAAAATTATGAGAAAGAAAAAAACAGGAGAGGCCCATGAGACCCAGATAACGGGTGAACAGTGATTCTGTTTTAGTATAATATATTGATATAGACTTTCAGCAACCCTGTTATTATATGCATACAGATACGAAACGAGAAAGCTCGGAGATATTTGAACAGCATGCGAAAGAAGAAGCCAGTTCCTTTCTCCCAAAAGTTTCCTAATGCAGATCCGCTTGCTCTTCGTTTGTTGGAAAGAATGCTGGCATTTGACCCTAAGGACCGGCCTACTGCTGAAGAGGTTGAATTGTCCTGCATCTTCAGTTCACTTTCTTTGTTATGTCTTGGTCTAACAGGGCATATTGTTTTTTCGAAAATTGCTAGGCTTTGGCAGATCCATATTTTAAAGGTTTGGCCAAGGTTGAAAGAGAGCCTTCAGCACAGCCAGTTAGCAAGATGGAATTTGAATTCGAGAGACGCAGGATAACAAAGGAGGACATACGAGAGCTCATATATCGAGAAATTCTGGAATATCATCCGAAGATGTTGAAGGAGCACCTAGAGGGAGCAGAGCCAACCAGTTTTATGTATCCTAGGTACTTTTCTTTTGGCTGTCGCACATTTTGCATTCCTCAAATTTATCATACAACACAGGAATTTCTTTCATATAGTATTTGTACCCAGAAGTTAAAAAAATTTGGAGGCCTTTGTGTTGCAACTCAATATATTTGAAAGAACTCTTTTGGGCTTTTATTCTATTATCTCCTGCATTCTTTAATGGCTTTGTCTGTTATTTTGGTTTGTTATTGGATGACTTCCTGTTTTCTGCTTTATCTTTTTCTGGTCCTTAAGATGAGCATTTATTTAAGAAAAGAAAAGCATTTTCATTGCTAACCAGAAGCCATGTGGTACTTGATTGGCAGTTTTAATTCTCCATCGGTGCTCACCTTGAAGTTGAAATATTGCGTTAGAGTCTATCTAGAATTATCCATTTCTTTTTAATGCTTTCTGGGATAAAATTTTTATTGTTATTGAATTGCTTTGGTGAACCTTTGATTCTTAAGCATCTGTAATATATAGTGCTCTATTTTGTCCGGTTTGTCACACTATTTGATGTAGCTTATCAGCCTTTCATTTTGTGCCCCTCTTTTCCTCTGGTAACTAACTCCTCCTCTTTTAAATAGTGCCGTCGACCACTTCAAGAAGCAATTTGCTTATCTAGAGGAGCATTATGGGAAGGGTGGAACTGTTATTGCGCCTGAGAGGCAGCATGCATCATTGCCCAGGTATCCTTTTAATTACCGTTATTGTTTTTGGGTAATGCAGCTTTCTTCTTGGTCACTGGCCTTTGTTCTTGTCAGCATGCCCATGTATCTGCTCCGGAATTGCTGACTTCTGATTTGAGATTGCATGTGCAGGCCATGTGTCTTATATTCAGATCAAAATGTTCAGCACAAATCCAGCCGAGGTTGCAGAAGATCTCTCTAAACATCAAAGAAATTGAGAAGCCACCCGTGGAGAGGAATCCCTTTGGCTCGGCTTCCTCCAGTCCACAAAATATGCAAGGTATGACACCTTACTCAGATAGATTTCTCCTCTCTCTAGAAACAGTCTTTTTGTTTGTGGGGTAAAGCTGTGTACTCCGATCAATTTTCAAACCCCACTTGGTGGGAGCCTTGGGCACTGGCGCCCCTTTTTTCATTAGAACGTTTGTTTACATGCTTGAATATGAGATGGTACTTACTGCTCACTTGCTTTAGGTGCAAGGCCTGGGAAAGTAGTTGGTTCAGTATTGCGTTACAACTGTGGGGTAGCAGCAACAGCAGACGTTTTTGAACAGCGGCAGATGGTTAGAAATCCACCTGTTTCAGCCCAATATGCTGCTTCAAGCTGTTCATATCCCAGAAGAAACCCAGCCTGTAAAAATGAGAGGACAGAAGATGATGGAATAGAAGGTTCCAATGGTTTGCAACCAAAGCCTCAATATATGCCTAGAAAAGTTGCTGCCGCTCAAGGTGGAGCTTCAAGTCATGGTATTGAACTATTGTTTTACATACCAAAACTTGGGTAACATCTGCCACTGAGCCTTACAGATCTTGCATCTGGGTTTGTTTCCGCCTAACCTCAGGACGATAATCTGAATCTTAACTGGTGGCATAACCTTCATCTGGAAAGACTCAAGGTAAAAACTTGAGAATGAAGTTGAAGAAGCCTCTGGCTGAAGTTTAGTTACATCTTTGTAATTTTCTGTCACTCTGATTCACTTATAGCATGAAACAGGAAGACTAGTAGCAACAAAATAGTTCTGATCTCTGCATTCCACAATACAGCTGTCTACTTTGTCCTAATTTTTTTTGGGCCATCACACTGATAAGTGTAATTTTTCTCACCCACCTACCTGCCTGTATTGTATTCTAAATAATCATCTCGTCCTCTTTCAACTGTATTTTGAATCCAGAACTATCTTTGGTGGTACCAAGACCAAAACTTGACCCGTGGAAATTCTAGGTTGTTTCACTTGAATACTTGCTTCTACTTTTTCATTATTCTGATACCTTCAATCTTCAATTGTTCTTTCTTAAAATGTTATTGTCACCATGTGATTAACGGGTACTTGGGAATCAGTTAAGAAATAAGTCAGAGGTTCTCTACTAATATACTTTTTTGGCCTTACTTTATTAGTATAAATAGGGACATACAGAAATGTAACGTGTCTAATTTGCATAATATTACTGTATACTTCCTCTGGTTCTAACTACAAGGATTAGTTAAAAAGTTTGTATTGATTCTAGAGACAAGGCTTTAGTTGATTTTGTCTCATGAATTTATAATTATTTTCCTAAGCAATCCTATTTATCACACATACTATAGGGATTATTCTAAGGAGAAAAGTTTCTAATACAAAAACATATATTCATTATAAATAACTAATGTGATAGATTTTTTTTTCAATCTCTGTAATTAGTTTTTATACTTGGAACACGAAAAGATAGCATTATTCTAATGAATTTTTGAGAGGGGAATATTCTAATATGGAATTGGTTATTTAATAAGAGAAATGTCGCTATCCCGGTTGAATACTTGAATACTACTTCTCACAATACAAGTAGCCATTATCTTCCAATTAAGTTAACTAATCATTAAAAACTAAGAATGATTGTGAATTATAAGTTTATAACTGAGCCATTGTGTATCGTCACTAGTAATCCAGGTTTTATAGTAATACTCCTCCGTCCTAATTATAAGACCCATTGACTTATTTGAGGAGATCCGGAATTAAGTTTAAGGGTTATTGTATAAATAAGTGTGTTATTCCTAAAATATCCTTGCTAATAAGTGTATTGGCTAACTATCATTAAGGATTATTTTGAAAAAATGCATAAATATAAGAGCAAAATGGATTGGGTCTTATAATTAGAACCAAATAAAAGTTAAATTGAGTCTTCTAATAAGGATCGGATGAGTAGATTATATTATATTGTTAGTATACGCTTCTTAAGGTGTGAGCTTCAGACTTGTGTCACCATTATAGCCAAAAAAAATTCGATCCTCTGCTTGCTTTTCTTGCACCGACTATTTCTATCTCTACCCCATGTTTCGTAAGCTCTTCTGTGCTGCGGCCCAATCCAATCTTCACCATCGTCACTTTCTTCCAATTTCCCACTCAAACTTTCAGAAAGCCTTCATTCCCGCCGATCTCATTCCTAATTTGGTCACTGAATCTTGCTTCGTCGCGAGATCTCAGAATATCAGACCCTTCCCGCGATTATCTTCTTCCTATTCCCGAATGAGTGATTCCCGCCGGCCGTTCTCGGTTCCCATTACTGCCGTCAACGAGGCCAATAAGTCTGAGCTACTTCGTGCTCTCGAAACATCGCTGGGTTCGTCGTTCAGCTCAGAGCCTCTGATCCCAAATCCAAAGCCATTGATAATAGTAATTAGCGGGCCAAGTGGTGTTGGAAAGGACGCAGTGATCAAGAAACTTAGGGAAACTCGGGAGGGTCTTCATTTTGTGGTCACTGCAACGAGTCGAGCGAAACGACCGGGTGAAGTTGATGGAAAAGATTATTTCTTTGTGAGTAAAGAGGAATTTGAATCCATGGTTAAGAGGGACGAGCTTCTGGAGTACGCGCTTGTGTATGGAGATTATAAAGGCATTCCAAAACAGCAAATTCGGGAATACATGGGTAAAGGGTATGATATTGTTTTGAGGGTGGATATTCAAGGGGCTCAAACATTGAGAAAAATTCTTGGTAATTCGGCAGTTTTCATTTTCCTTGTGGCTGAGAGTGAAATGGCAATGGTGGAAAGACTGGTTGATAGAAAGACTGAAACTTTAGAGTCGCTGCTTGTGAGGATTGCTACGGCTAGGGAGGAAGTGAAGCATCTTAAGAATTTTGATTATGTGGTTGTGAATGCTAAAGGGAAGCTTGAAAATGCAGTAACATTAGTGAGTTCCATTATTGATGCTGAGAAAGCGAAGGTCTGTCAAAGGAGTGCTGTGGTATAGGTCATTGGCGGTTATGATTGAGGTTTTTTAAGGGGCGCCATAGATTGTTAACTGCTTTTTCAGATACTTAATCAATTGTTGTCATTGCGTTCGCAGCAAATAAGAGCTGACTATTTAATTTTTCAGTTTCTGTGAATCTCTTAATTTGTACTTACTTTGATGAGTTAATGTAGTTTCAATTTTTGTGGGTATAAGCAATTTCGGGAATACAAGGTCTTGCACAAAGATTGTCTAGTGCTTTGGCAAGCACATAGTGAAGTGAATTGGCAAATCTAGCACGGATGAGTTGGTGAGATGTGTTTTGACAAAGTAGTATCTGGGCTTTGATTTATACAAAAGGATTCGCACTCAGTTTAAGCTATTACAACAATGGCCTTAGCTAAGACGTTAAAAATATTGGATCCTTTGCAATTAGGCAGTCATGTATTACAAGGGAGCAACAGGAAATAATATATCCAAGTATCTGTTTCTTTTCTCCCCTTTATAACCATAATTTTCTTTTTCCTTTTATCTCTTTTGCAACTTGTTTCATTTTCTCTGTCTTACTTGTGTGTTGAAGTGCATTTTTTAAGAACGAAAAATGCATCCTGCAAGTGATTGGTTTTCATTATTGCTTTGTTTTGTAGACATGATGTGAACAATTGTGCTGAGGATGTCATAAAAAACCGATCTGTTAATTTGAGCTTAATTGTAGGCAGTTCCTTTTGGTGCTTTACTTACCATTTATTCTCATGTCTCCAGGTAGATATTATGATGATTGTTCTCACACTCATGCTGCTGCAAATAGAAGTTTTAGTCAATATGGCTTCTTCATCCATTGAGTTTTTTTTTCCCTTCAGCGACCTAGGTAAACACATGTATGCTTTGTGTTTCTTT